TATATATATACATACATACATATATGTTATCACATTCAAGTTCAAAATAATCAAACAATGCTTATAAATTTATATATTTAATATTTTTTTTTTACATTTTTATTACTTAATTTTTTTATGTCAAATAAAAATCTCATTATTACTTATTGTGTGCCAAAAGATCTATAGTAGATGAGTGAAAAACTAACATTTAAGCATTGTATGAAAATCTAGCACAAGCACATATAATAAAAAAGTAGTAAGCGAAGCCACCAAAATTTTTTATGTGAATAACTTTGGAAAAAATCACGGGAGTCAAAATAATCAACTGTGTTATTGTAAGTACATAGGCCCACTATTAATAAAGATGAAATTATAAATTGATGTACAACAATAATTCAGTGATAATAGTCGCAATCGGGTTGTAGTTCTTGGAGATAATAACGATAGTGGGCTGTGGAGGTTGTAATTGTTGCTACAAAGAAAGTATTATATCATAAATGTTGTACATTGTGGTTGTAAAAGCATAAACTTGTCATAAAGATTGTAGTTGAAAGTTATAGTAATAGTTGACCACATATAGTATGTAGTTTGTAGCTTTGGAAGCATTAGTTGGTCATAAAGGTCATAATAGGAAACTGCAGTAATTATGAGCCATGTAGAAGTTAGGCTAAAGTAAGGAGTTGAAGCTACATCAATTGGCCATTAAGGCCATAATTGGAAGTTGTGGTAACAATTAGTTGTATAGGTCTTAGTTGGTCACATATGTCGTAGTGGGGAGTTGCAACAACATCAGCTAGCCACATAGACACTAATTGGAAACTACAGTAGAAATGAGTCACATAAGTCATAGTAAGGAGCATCAGTAGCATTAGATGGCCACATAAGTCGTACTTGGTAGATTGTAATGGCATCAGCAGGCCACGTAAGTTATAGTGGGCAACTATAGTAGCGCTAATTGGTCGTAGAGGTTGTCATTGAAAACTGTAGTCGCAACGAGCCACATAGGTTGTAGTTGGTCACATAGGTTGTAGTGAGAGCAACAGTAGCGACAGTTTTCCACAAAGGTTGTCGCTGGTGCTACATTGGTAGATGGCTACGATGGAGACATCACTTATTCATATACGATGTAAGAAGAGAACTTTAGGAGTCCAAGGAAATTCATCGAATTCTAAACATAAAGATTGTAAGTAGTTGATGCAGGGAATTATTATCGAGTCTTCAAACCCAAAATGGCTCTCGGATTCCACTCCTCAAGATTTAAGTCTCCTACTAGCTCTTTGTCCTTAGTCCCCCCTCACTAAGGGAGTAGGCTCTATTTATAGAGTCTGAGAACGACATCCCTTGTAAATAAGACAAGAATTTGGACCACTCTGTTGGACGACCTGGAACGATTCCTTTGATTGAATACTAATTCAAGAACATTTAAGTACCTTAATAATGTCATAATCGAGTGATTTTGGACTCGTTGTACTCATCTCATCAAAATGCTCGATTTAACTACAAGCTTGTCAGATTTAGAATTCATTTGACATTCCAATTGATCACTTAAAGCTTTCAAAGTTGTTTAATGGCTTAAACTATGACTAATTTGACTCGGATTTGATCAATTTTAGTATCATTACGTTCATATTATCGGTTGGTCTGATTGTAAGCTTACTTAAATCACATTTGTATATGATTTTTAAGTTAAGTTTGAATATTTCATGCTAAAAATGTCTTGATATTCATGCCAAAATACTTCAAGATTCATGTCAAATGAAAAAAATTATTGACAGTGTATTGGTTGCCTCCTAATTCGAAAGTAAATTTGCTTGCATGGTCTAAAAATTACTAAAATAATAAACTTTTTTTGAAGTTTTACAAAAGTTTTAAAAAGTTTCAGGTAGTGATGGAGGTAGCGGGCAGTCACGACCAGCGGTTGACAACTGACAACGAATGACGACAGACATAATCTGATGGATGGTGGAAGACATTTGGTAGACGACGGCCAACAATAAACAACAGACAACGATGATGATGATGGATGATGGATGGTGGAAGGTGGTCGACAGTGAAAAGTGGTCATCGACAGTGTGGTGGCCGGCGAAAACAGTGGCAGTCAAATACATAAGAGAGGTGTGGGCACTGCCTTAAGCCACCCAAGTCCGTCAAGTCTAGAGATCGATGGATGTGTGGTGGCAGAGCATACCATAGTAGGTTAGTTGGGCCACTATGAGCGGGCTAGAGATAAAAGTGAGAGTGGGCCGGTGTGTGTAGGTTCCAGTCTCTCAGGTTGCACGACCCATTCACTCGGTTGAGCGATCACATGTTTTGTGACCAATCTTGGAGTGATCATGCATTATGGGACCAATCTAGGAGTGAGTGTAATGGATAGTGCATGGAAGTCTTGGATTCATCGTGATTGGGAAACTATGATAGGTTTTTGTGGAACAAACTAGATTTTGGAATTTTTTTGACATGATTTAGCCATATAGTACATAAATATGTGGAGGGTCCATTGGCCTACTGTTGTGCCCCCTCTGAACTAAGCTTGTTTAATCCTCGGAGTTCACTTCTTTTTTTGTTATGCTCTTTTTATTGCTGGAGTTGTAAACCCTCGGAGTTTCTTTAGAATGTTTTTTTGACCCTTTCGTGTTGATGTTGCACATCCCCGAGTTTCTTTGTCTAGTTGTTGTGTCTCTTTTGCACTAGAGTTGCGCTATTATTGAGCTTTTTAAAGAAATTTTTTTTGCTCCAGTTGCGCTTTCTGAGGAATATTTGTTGTGTCATTGTTGCAATTTATGAACGATTATCTCATTCTGCTACTGAACTTTCTGGAGAAATTTTTTTTGTGTTGTTTTTGGGCTTTTTAAAAGAGATTTCTTGCACTTCAAATGTTGAGGCTTGGGGAATCTCATCCCCAAAAAAAAATCTGAGGAAGTACTAGAATATTAAGGGGATGATACCAACACATACTGAAGATGAGTTGGATATTTTCTTAAAGGTGTGTAACATTGAGTTTTTTTATTATCAAATATATTCTTAGCAAGTATAAACAAATGTATAATACTAGTGCAAAGCATATGTTATCCTTAGGATATTAACTATCATAATGTAAGACTGAATTATACACCATGATGATTTTTCTTTGTTAGCAAAGCTAAGAACTGATGAATGCTCAATAAAAACGGAGGGAGACATGATCTAACTTCAATGAGAGCAAATAAATTACCTTTTAAAGAAGAGAATATAAAGTTAAAGTTCAATATGTAGGAGAATTCAATTAAGACTTATGAAAAAGAGTCCAACTGGTGTACATATGAACTAAAGCTAATGCCTTTTCGTGCCTCCTATTCAGACATCTGAAGTTTCCCTTTTTTACTTAGAAAAGGGGAGAAACTAAGATATTAAGTACAAGAGCATGCCCTTAACGAGAGAGGGAGACTTTAACATAGATTAATACTTTGTGTATGTATGTCTATATTAATAGCTTTTCCTTAACACTTTTGTGACATTTAGACAATATTTATAGCTTGTCCAACATTTGATGTATTTAGTGTGTTGGTTTATGTCTCTTTGCTGCTTGATATAGCTCTTTACACCTTGTGATAATATATATCCTTAGCCTCATATTACACTTATCGAGTGTCACTTCATTTTTTATGTTGCAATATAATATTCAATTTGAAAATTATATAATTAGCCAAGAGGTCAACCCATCCTGGGTTGTGTTATTGGAGATGAAACAACTACCTAGTTATGGATGCACAACTTATACTAGCTTGTTAGTTAGAGCACTTTGGTCAATAATTGTAACTTTAATAGATGAAGTTGATTGTAATCCACCAAGAGTTTAAGACCTGTCCTAGGTTGTTTATTCGATGATTCTTGACAGTGTTAACCAATTATGAAATCAACCAATGATGCAAGACTTAATCTAGGTTATATAGTCAAAGATACTTGGCGATCTTAATAAGTTATGGAAAAAGTTGAATGAAATATACTAAGGATGTAAGACCTGTCTGAGATTGTTTAGTTGAAGATGTTTGATGATATCAATATGTCATAAACAAACTTGTATGAAATCCATTAAGTATATAAGACTCTTCTGAAGTTATATGATCGTAGATGCATGAAAATGTTAACTTGTTATAAATAATGTCGAATGAAGTTCATCAAGAATACAAGACCCATTTTAAGTTGTATAATTGAGTGTTTGATGACGTTAACCTATTATGGATAAAAGTTAAATGAAATCCACAAAGAATATTTAACCTATCCTAGGCTATTAGTCAAAACTTCTACATGAAGACTATAGCCTTTTATGGATGTGGTCAAAACTGGTCTCTTTGGGACCAATTAAGCCCAAAATGACGTGTCAAATATGTTATGTATTTCTCGGTCGAGATGGACTATATCTTTTTCTTAAAAATATGGCTTTCATCATATTCAAGAGTAATATTTAACAACTTTAATTATTTATGTTGAATATATTTTCCCTAATAGAGGCATTGTCCACATGAACTTATAAAATAAGCCATATATCGAACAATGAAGAAGCCAAATTCTTGATCTAGTTAAGGAGGAAACTCTAGTTTGATTAGAGGGTGCTGAGAGATTGTCTTCTAGCTGGAGAGCACTGAATAGTATTTGATC